TCCATCCACTCATCCATCCATCCACTCATCCATCATCCATCCATCCATTCATCCATGACTGCAGCAGATGAGCTTTCAGTATGCTGTTGACTATGAAGAGCAGGCATCACTGCCTGGCCCCATCTGAAAGCAAAGCATTTGCTTGTTTCCATAAGTAGGAAGTTAGCTACAGAGTTTTCAGTCAGCCTTTTCCAGAACTGAGTTCCCCTTTCTTCCAAGTTTGCTGACAGCAGTTATTAGAGGGTGAATCCTGGAGCCGGTGAGATGGGTAAGTGAATAAAGGCGCTTGCCACTTGAGGACACAAGCCTGATGACCTTCATTGCATCCCTGTAGACCACGGAAAGGTAGAGGAGAGAAGCAGCTGACAGACTCAGCCTATGACCGCCACATGAATGGTCACTGAGACCTGGGTCTCGCCAATTAAGACAGACCAGCAAGCTCCAGAGATTTGCCCATCTCTGCCTCCCCAGTGCTGGGTTTACAAGCATAGGTCCTCGAGTCAGGCTTTGAGGCAATCATTTATTTACTGACAGTAATCTCCCCAGTACTGGTGTCTGGTCTTTAGAACAGTTCTCTCCAAAAGAGGACACCAAAGTCTGTCACAATTAAACCTCAACTGGCCCAGACCTTCTAGAGTAACTACAGAATCTGGGATCGATAGGCTCTGCACGGTGGCGGCAGCCAGTGTTTACCAGAGTAGAAGCTGTGGAAATGTGGCTGTTTTATGCTACGTATAGTTTCTTTACATTCCCGTTGGGCTTTAGTGGAAACGCAGGTTTGTTTTTGTCTGTTTTACCATCACAACTCACACATCTCAAGAGTACAATAAAACAATCCCCGACTGTGTTCACTGGCTCCAGGTTACAAACTGACAGGGCTGCCCACCAAGCAAAAGACGTTCCAATACCCAACCCTGAGATGCAAATGCTCAGATTTGCCTCAGTCACCTAAGAGAGCACCTTTGGCCACCTTAACTCCTTAATTCTTACAATTCCTAAAATGTTTACTTAGTCATTTTCCCTCATTCTATTACTGAGGAAAGGGGTGGGGCAGAGGCTAGAGATTTTAAAAATCAGAGATGTGGGGCAAAGTTTACCCCCTTCGCTCTTTTAAGGGATGAACACTGCTGGCTAGGACAGAGACAAGTGCTAACACCCATCTAAAGGGTTTCTGGATTTTTTTCTAAGATTTTAAAATTTACGTTTATGTGTAAACGTGTGGTCTGTGTGAGTATATGCCACCTATGTGTCACAGAAGACAAGCGATGCCCTATAGAGCTAGAGTTACAAGTGGCTGTGAGCCACCAGAGCTGGGTGCTAGGAACTAAACCCAGGTCTTCTAGAAGAATGACAATGGCTTTTAATTAGCAAGCCCTCTCTGCAGCCTCCTGTGTACATAAGGATCACCTAGGAAGTCCTGTTAAAACCTAAACAGGTTTGAGGGGGTCTGAATCTGCCGATTCTACAGAGGCCTAGGGTGGCGGCAATGCTGGACGGAGTGTGGGAAAAGCAAGGATCTGCAGTTTCCTTAGGCCTCACCATCGCAATGTCTATAAATATTAAGCCTTTTAAAAGCCAGACTTTACTGAAGTGAAAGAATTAATACGTTCCCTTCTCTCTGGGCGGAGTCTGAGCTGTGTGGCATCTCAGAAGGACCCTCATAAGGACTTGCCTAATATCTTGGAACATGTTTGCTTTCTCGAGGGAAAGTGGATCACCCTAACACTTAGCAAGACTGAGAACCCAAAGGGCATGAGACCACCAACCTGCCTGCCACATCACTCAAGTGACCATTCCTCCACTTGCCAGTACACAATCCACAGTGGACACTCGGCAATAGGAAAGGTTTTAAAGGCTGGCCCCCGAAGTCCTTCCACATGGAAAGTAAGGACTACCAAACAACCACATCTTTCCAAGGGGGTAAACATGACAGGCTCCAGCTCCTGCTCCTGGAAACAGCAAAGTCCCAGCAGTGAGCTGAAAATGTTTTGTACAGACCACTCCATCTCCATTCTGAGGGGCAAGTTAAGAGTTGTATTTACTTTCAAAGGCCTGGTAAGCAAACTAAGAAGGTCGCTAACTAGGCCTTGTAGTCCACCTGGCTCCAAGTTCAGCCCTGCCCTTTTCTTCTGATTATCTGCACTGTACTCAAACATTAGAATTACATACCTCCCCCACCCCTACATTCTCTTTGCTAACAGCAATGCCCAACAGATGCCATTACATCCTTGAGAACATTCCAGATTACTGGATTAAGACTGTTTTAAAATTTAAAGATAGATAACTTGCTCCACTTATTTCTCATTAAAGCCCTTCAAAACTACGCATCAGAAGACCAAGCCTTGTGCATAGAAGAGAGAAATCGGTCCACGATTCTGCAACCGCAACCGATAAACACAGGGACCTTTATTTAAAGGGTGTCCACACATGGTATTTCTCCCAAGAAAGGTTAATGCATGCACTGGGTTAATAAGCGTAACAGACCCAATGCTCCCTGAAAGAAAATGCAAGTATGTTGCAGTTCTGTGCAAATGGCTTCTCTGCCTGGCTGAGAAGTCTACAAAGTTTTGAGGCCTATGTGAAAGGCTACCTGTGACAGAGTAAGAGGGATACAGAGGTTTTTCTAAAATGGACCATGCCCAGTCCACAACAAAGGTAAACCACTGCCCAGACGGACCTTCTACAAAACCACAAAACTGAAACAGAACCCAGAAGCTCCTGAACCAAACACTCTGGGAGTTTTTTTTTAAAAAAAAATGAGGACCCCAAGAAATGTGCTCTAGAATGCCCAAGACCAACAGAAAGTTCCCCATATCTGTCACCTCCCAAACTGGCCGCCCTCCCAGAGTGACTTAACTCTGGGTACCAATTTGGGCAGTTCCAAGAAACCACCAGTGCCGAGTCGAGGACTACGGGATGCTAAGAAGGAAGCTAACGTCCGCAGTAAAGACTGGAGGCTTTGTGGGTAGATCTGGACTCCCCCACTGCATCTGGGCTACATGCCTCCATTCAACAAATATTTATTGAGCGTCCACCATCTGCTGGGCACCCTGCTAGGCGCCAGGGAGGAAACCATGCCACAGCCCCCGGCCCCTGTTAGCAGAGAACCGTCTGGGGGTTACGCGAACCGGAAAACCTGCTACAAGTTGCTAAGCATAGTAGTAGCCAGGAGATGGCACGGCCCTCGCAACCAGCTCTGCGCACCAACCTCGTCAATGAAGCAGGGAGGGCACAGGTAGGCCCCGGAGCAGGTGTGCAGGGACCAGGCACCCCTGAGGCTTCGGAGCTGCAGAGGACAGACTCCGGCCGAGGGTGCGGTCCCTAGAGGAGCAGGGACTGCAGCCCAAGGACCTCGGAGTAAGGGGTGCTCGGAGCGGGGACCGCGCAGCTCGGACCTGACTCTGGTCCGCCGGGCCTTCCCCCCGCGGCTGGGTGCGGGGAAAGAAGGCGCGGGCTAGGCCGCCGACCCGCCCGCTCCTACCTGGAGCCCCGCCCGGCACCTACCACTTGGGCGACCTTGAGGCGGCCGAGCGCGCCGCGCAGGTAGTCAGGGTCGCAGCGCAGGCCGGCCAGCCCGCGGCGCTGGCTCACCGGCTCGGTGGTGGGTTGGTACGGGCTGCTGGCGCCCGAGATCATGGAGGTGCTCGAGGCCTCGCCCTCGAAGCCGTCTAGCTCCTCGCCGCCCCGCATGCTGCCGCTCCGCGCGGCCGGTTCCCCCGGCGCCTGGAGCGGTCAGGCTCAGCGCGGCTGCCGCATCGCCGTCGCCAGACCACCCTGCCGCCGCCGCCTCTGCGCCCGCCGCCCGCTGCGGCCGCGGCTCGGTCCGCTGGGGCTCGGCTCCCGGCGCCTCGGCAGCGGAAAGGGAGGGAGGCGGGAGCGGGCGCCGAGGGAAGGAGGCGGGAGCCGCGCGCCGGCCCGGAGGGGGTGGAGACTGCGGCCGGCGCGGGGAGGGGCGGGGCGCTGAGGGCTGGGGGCGGGGGGTCGTCGGGAGAGGAGGGGCGTTGCAGGTTGGGGCGGGGCCGGTGAAGTGCCTTAGTCACGCCCCACCACGCCCTCACCTGCTGGGCATCGGGCCTAGACTCCAGTGGTCCCCGGCTGCCTTAGCAAGGGAAGGCCAGGTCCAAAAGAGGGGTAAAAGGGTGGAGAGGATGGAGATTGACCAAGGAGTCACAGCTGCTTTCTCTGCCCGCAGCCTCAGAGCCTGCTTTAGAGAAAGTGGATCATGTGCAGGTAGTCTGGGGGACTTCCCGATGAAAACTATGCTCGGGGCTGGAGGGATGGTTAGGAGATTAAGAGTGTCCCTGTGGCTCACAGACTGTCTGACACCCTCTTCTGGACTTGGCAAGCACCTGCATTCACGTGCATATTCATTCTCTCTCCCTTTCTCTTTCTCTGTCACACACACACACATACACACACATACACACACACACACACACACACAGAGGCTATGTGGATGGTGAGATGGCGCAATGTGTAAAGGCACATGTCACCAAACTTAATGACCTGAGTTTGATCCCAGGGACCCACATGGTGCAGAAAAAGAACCTAGTCCCTCAATATGTAATTAAATGCATATATAATAAAGATCAGCTGTCTCTGCCCAGAACCAGGCACAGTGCCTGTTCTAAGCTGGCCCTGACTGCAGCTGTGTGACACAGCAGGGTTTAAGTGTGTGTGTTCCCGCGATGGGCATCCCGAGACAAGCCTATTCTGTGCCAGCGGTACAGCCTGCAAGGGGTGTGGGGGTGATGAAAGGTCCGGGCTAATGGATTCCACAGAATCCACACAACCACAGTGTCAATTTGGGATCCAGTACCCTGGCACAGGAGGCATATGAGCACACAGTAGGTCCTTGGCAACTAATGTTAGTTTCCTATCCTGGCTGAGAAGTTTTGCTACCTCTACGAATCAAGCTGAGTGACACACAAATTTTGCCCTGGAGGCATTAATTATAGACCAATTTGTCATTCAAGTGTGAAGACTAATTTAAAGCTTAAGTAAAACACTGACTTTCTAAGAATTGTCACTTTGACACTGAACCTCTCAGCACCCTGAACACAGAGCTTTCTCTGCTCCGGGCCTTGGGGAAGGCACCAGATGAGGTGTTATAATCATTACTATTTTGCACAAGCAGAGACAAAGGTTCCAGATTGGAAGTGGTTTGTCCAAGGGCACACAAATGGGTGGAACACAGGGTCTGTTTCCAAAGCTGGAAGGATAACAGCTTTGATTCTTGCATTATTCGACTGACCAGGTATTTTGGGGGACGCTTATTGTAACTTAAGCAATATGCTTAGAACTGAGGACAAAGACGTTGAGAAGGCTCAGTGGGTGACGATGCTTGCCACCAGATCTGATCACATTTGTTTGGTTCCTGTGACCCACAGGTGAAAGAAGAGAGCCAATTCTTGCAAGTTATCCTCTGACCTCCAAAGGCATGCACCAGAATCCTGCCACCCAAACTACTCTCTCTTAAAATCCTCCTGAAGTGGCAGCTATGGGGGTTTATTGATACCACAGAGACAACGAGTAGGAAAGGCGACAAAGACAATAGAACACTGGACGCTGGAAAGAAATGTGCATGCAGCAACTGATACGGCACATCTAAGAGAATGGATATCCAAGCTTGCCGTGGGAAAGGCTGAAATACAACCCAGATTACATATCAGAACAAAAGGCTCAGGGGCGCCAGCAAAGTCTAGAAGTGTGTGTAGGGGGTGGGGGGAAGCTGACAGAAGGCAGGAGAAATACAAGATGATCCATTAAAAGCTTTGAACAAGTATAAAAGGGTCCTTGGATCCCCTCCCAAACCCCTGACCTCAAGATAAGTTGCAGTCTGTGTATGTAGACATATAATTTCTCAACCTAATTTAATGAGGGTTCAACCACCCCTCTAGCCCACCATCCACCAGAGGTAGCGAGGAAAAAAAGATTATTAGTATATGGGGGAAGTAGACCTGTTTAGAAATAGTTCTTTGGGGGCAATTCCAATCTTCGTTTTTCTCAGTTCAGTCCACTAGCAAACACCAAACATGAATCAGCAGCTGCAGTCCAGTCCAATCAGCAGACACACACACAATCCAGCAAGGGCAGTTCAATCCAGAAGAAATCCTAAGGCTTGCCAACCGGACCTACCCCGTAGAAGCATCAAGAAGCTACAAGAACCTCACGAGTTCTTTGTCAAGTTTCTCCCTATGACGTCATCACAAGTGAATCTCAACAACATAATGTAAGGTGAACCAACACACGGCGTGTTGTCAGCAAAGATTAGCAAAGTAGAGCTAAGTAAACCAACACCCTAGCGCCCACTGACTGTGGGGTCATATTTATATTCTTTCTAAATAATTCCTTTCACGTGCCTGCTATAGCAAAACATGCTTTCGCCTGTGTGCCCCAGTAAAACATCATTTGATATAATTGACTTTCCAAAGAGAAGTTTCTACTTCAGTGTGTGTATGGACACACATGTATATTATCCCTGGGTTTACTGAAAATATTACAGCACAACCAGGCTGCAGGTGGAGGTACACAACTTTAATCTCAGCACTTGGGAAGCAGAAGCAGGCATCTCTCTATAAATAAGTTTGAGGCCAGCCTGGTCTACAAAGCTATACAGAAAAACCCTGTCTCAAAAAAAAAAAAAAGAAAGAAAGAAAGAAAGAAAGAAAGAAAGAAAGAAAGAAAGAAAGAAAGAAAAGAAAAAGAAAAGAGAAAAAAAAAAGCTGGGTCATAAAAAAGGAAGACCAAGTGGGGGTGATTCAGTTCTTCTTAGAAGGAGCAACAAAATACTCAAGGGAGCAAATATGGAGACAAAGTGAGGGACAGAAACTGAAGGAGGGGCCATTTGAAGACCTTTCCACCTGAGTATCCATCCCATGTGCAGTCACCAAAGGTAGATGCTGATGTGGAAGTCAGGAAGTGCATGCCGATAAGGGCCTGATATGGATGTCTCCTCAGAGGCCTTCAAGAGTCTGACATATTCAGAGGCAGATGCTCACAACTAGCCATTGAACTGATCATGAGGTTCTCAATGGAGGAGTTAGAGTGAGGACTAAAGGAGCTGAAAGGGTTTGTGGCACCATGAGGAGAGCAACAATACCAACCAACCACAGCTCCCAG